CCAGGAATGGCTTCTGCTCTGGGGTGGGCCAATCCACTTGGTGTTTATGGAAGATGCCTCGGTAGTCTAGTTTTGGACACCCCGCCTCCCTTGGCAGATTCTGGCAATCAGCTGTCACCTTGGGTTGGTGGGACAGGTCCTCGAGGGCACAAACCATGGAAGGCTGCATCTCAAAGGCCAACTCTAGAGCTGGCCGTGCCTGTGCACCTGGACATGCTGTCTGCTGATGACCCAGCCGCCCCACAGGCATGCACCCAAGCCTCTACCCTTGTGGAGTAGAACTTTCTTCAGGGGAAAGAGCCATGAACATGAAATCAGCCAATACAGAGAATTTGTGATTTCTCTCCAAGCCCAATAGAAAAAGAAAAATACACCGAAGTGGCTAGTTGCCTAAGACCCCTGATTTATATTCTACTTTAGTATCTCTTCCGAGGAAATTGAAGGTACATTTTCATCAAATATAATCATTTACAGCTTGTAAAGCGGGGACAAACTGCTCTGTGATGGCCACCTGGGCTACAGATGAAATGGAAGGTACGTCATAACACAGCTAGCCCCTCTAGCAGTCACCCCGAGGCAGGTGGCCAGAACTGTCTTCTCTACTGGGGATTATCCCCTAGGCTGGGGTGAGGGTCCCACACAGCCTGGGGTTTTCGCAGCCATGTGGCCTAGGGTGAGGGACACAGAGCAAGACCATTCCCAAAGTGTGTGTGTGGGGGGAAGCGACAGGGTTGCACTCACGGGCTGTGGATGCCACAGCATCAGAGGCCAACCTAGGCCGTGCTTCTGATGACCCCCTCTGGCCCTACTCTTTGGTTTTTGAAAACCTTCAAGGTGAGGGTGAGGAAATTCATGAGGTGCAACCAACCGAAATCTATCACGTGAGTGCACTTGCCCGCCCTGGATGCACAACTTGTTCACTCTGGTGACGGAAATGAAGCAGAAGAATGCTTAAGATCTTCTGGGGTCTCCATTCTCTGGTGTCCCTTCCCTAGTCCAAGGGCCACAGACTAAACAATCCGAGGTCTAGGGCCCCAGAGAGAACTTTGTCTTCTTGGTGTTCACGCAGGAAGAAGGCATTAGTGGGATCTGCTCTAAGGCTGTGCAAAGCCTAAGTGTGGGCTCATTCTTCATCCAATAAATACTGAATGAAGGCACAGTGCTAGGTGCTGAGGTACAGCAATAAACAGGACAGACCAGGTGTCCATGGAAGTGACCTTCTCCGTGCGGAAGAAAGACCGCAGCCTGGTACCCAAACATGTCATCCAGGTAAAGAACTGCAGAGAAAATAAACCAGGCTAATGGGATGGAGGAAGGAGGGGTGGATCAGGAAAGGCCTCTCGGAGGAGGCAGCATGCAGACTGAGGCCTGTACAGTAGGAGGAGGCAGCCACACACAGATCTGGGGAAGAACATCCAATGAGGAGGCCCTAAAACAGGAGAGAGGCCAGTGACTTGGAGGAGTGGTTCTCAAACCATAGTCTGGGGAACCTTGGGGCCCTCCCAGGGTCAGAACTACTCACATAAAAATAATAACAAGAGCTACTCACACAAAAATAGTGAGACAGCACTTTCCTTTTACATTCACTCTCCCAGGAGTATACGGGGGAGCTTTCCAGAGGCCACACAGTGTATGCTATGACAACAGATTGAAAGCAGAAGCAGATGTAGAAGTCCAGCTGCCTTCTATTAAGCCAGATATTACAGAGATTTGCAAAAATATAAAACATGAAGTTTGTGTTTTGTTTTTTTTGCTTTGGAAAAGTTATTGTTCATTAAAAATTATGTTATCTATATTTACATGTGATGGGTGTATTTTTATTTAAAAAATAAATATGTAAATAGTTAAAGCATCTCTCAGTTTTAATTTGTACTACCTGAAATATTAATAAATATAATCCATATAAACTCTACCTCTTTGGGATCCTTGATACCTTTTCTTAAGGGTCTAAAGGGGATCCTGAAGCCAAAACTTTGAGAAGCACTGACTCAGAGGAGCAGCAGGGGCTGGTACGGCTGGGGTATGGGACAGAAGGAAGTGGTAGGGGGGCTGCATTTGAGGCGCGAGCTGGGGCCAATCTCATAACAACCACACAAGACCCGAGTGAGAGATTCGGATTTTGTTCCAAGTGCAACGGGAAGCTGCTAGAGGGTTGCAAAGAGGGGCATGATGTGATCTGATTTATGTTCTAGAAAGCTCCCTCTGGCCAAAGGGAAGAGGTGAGGCTGGATGCCTGAGAACACCGAAGAAGCTCCTGCATGATCTAGGGCGAGGGCTAGTGGCCAGGACAGGGAGAAAAGATGTGATGTACTCTGGAGGCAGAGGAGGCCAGTGAGGATGGGACGGGAAAGAGGAGGATCAAGGATGATTCCAGATGTTGGGCGGCTGTGGGGCAGGCTACAGAGATAGCAGGTGGTGAGGAAGGGCAGGGCAGGGAGAGCTCCCCTCCCTCTGTCTGAGTCATGCTCAGGCTCACGGATTTCACTTGCTCTCCAATACAGGCCATTTTGGGAAGGCAGCAAGGCCTCTCTCCCCAAGGGCCTAGAGCAGTCACCCTTGGGGGCACAATTGGGGTGAATGTGCCCACTCCCCACCCCACAGCTGAGAGGCACTTCCAGGGGCTGTCAGGGGCGAGAGACAGGGAAGGGGCAGATGGCCAGTTTTGGCAGCTACCTTTGCCCTGCCACAGTCTCAAATGGCTCAACTCAAATACCCCAGCCCTGGGACCAGCAATAGGATAGAGGCATTCAGCTATGCCAGCACCCCCGCCAGGCAGGCCCAGGCCATGGTAGACAGGACCATACCTCCAGCACTGGGATGACCTCACTTCTCCCCTGGAGCCCAGGCAGGGTGGGAGAAGTTAGCAATCAGGCATTGTAAAGCCTTTTGCAAACAGAGAGATGATTATGCAGATGCTGAAGAACGTGACATTTGGCTCTATCTATTTATTTACACTTGCCTTGTTCCAAAAAGGATGGAACAGAAATAAGGCCAGGGTTTTTCTCCTTAACCCATTCATTACTGAGATGAAACCCTAATGACCCTAAAGAAATGATTTCTTAATATAATGTCTAATGTCAGTTATATCTCAATTACAAAAATCACAAGGCAGTGTTTATAGAAATGTTATAAAAATTTTAACTGTGCGTAGAAAAAAAAGAACGAATGAAAGAAAAAGGAACGATTTCTTACCAAGCCAATCTGTATTTAACCCAGACTCATGGCCATCATTTATATTTACTTAGCAACCATCCCTACAGAACGTGAAGAAACCTGGACAATTTTTAACAAAGAATCCTCCAGGGCGCCTGGGTAGCTCAGTCTGTTAAGCGTCCGACTCTTGGTTTCGTCTCAGGTCATGATCTTGTGAGATCAAGCCCGGCGTCGGGCTCCGTGCTCAGTGCAGAGTCTGCCTGAGATTCTCTCTCCCTCTCTCTCTGCCCCTACCCACCCCTCAAATAAATAAATAATCTTAAAAAAAAAAAAATCGTCCAGACCCCGGAGTAAGCACAAATCATCTATTTCATAGCTGAAAACGAAGTGGTGCCACAATCGTTCTTATAGACCAAGACTGGTTTCAAGGATGGAAACAGTCACAGACTAGTGGGTACACTTTTCCAGAGCGCATGTTGGGACTACATATGTCAAGAAGAAAAGCCTCCCCTTTGACTCGGCAGACCCACTGCTGAGAATTTATTCCACAGACACTAAAGATTTGCAACAGTTATATCAAGGCCCCAAGGATGTTCTCTATGACACTGGAAGAGCAAAACACTGGAAATGACCCAAATGTCCATCAATGCAACATGAGATAAAAGATTTTCTGGTACAGCCATACAATAAAATACCATACAAGAGTTAATTATTAATTAGCATGAAGTCAATCTATTTGCATTGACATGTAACACTGAATTAAGTGGGGGAAAAAAAGGCAAGGTGTAGAATTACATATATGGTATGACCCCATGTGTAAAAACAGACAAGAAAAAATATATACGGCATAAAATGAACATTTCTAAAATGATAAGCAAGAAACTGGTAACAGTGATTCCTTCTGGGGCAAAGCTGACTCATTTCTCATTTTATCATGTCCTGCTTGGGTTTTAAAATATCATATACTTACAGCATATATATTTCTAAAATAAATTAATGAAATCAAAGAACGAATAAAGGACAAATCACGGAGTGGAAGGAAAAGAAGGACCCTGATTTTGGACAGGTCCTTATGGCCGCACTTTAAATCAACTGTTCTTAAATCGATAACTGCTTTCAAACACATTTTGCAACGTATCAATTGAGGTTCGAAACCCCAAATGCTTGCAGGGGACAGCCTGGCCAACTTTCAAAAGTTTTGTAATCAAGGGCAAGGTTCTCTTTCGAGGGATAGGGGTGCACACGGATTTACTTAAGGTAGATGCACCAGAACAGGAAGGGGAGAGCCCGTCAGCCCTTTTGGAGAAGCAAGCTGCCCTTGAACTTTCTCTTCGTGTTTCTTTTTTTGGGAGGGGGGTGGTTTCAAGATGAGCTTTGGAGAGAGTGGGCAGAGGTGCCCCCAGCTCCCGGATGGAAGACCCTGGCACAGCCCATCGGGAGTTCTCACTTCTTCAGGGGCTCTAAGAGGAACCATGCACACTGTCTCTCTAGTCATCCTACACGGAGAAGGAAACCACTCCCCCACAACCTCATGACTAGCGATCTAAGTATTTCCAAGAAATTTCCAAGAAACTTCTTAGTCTTAATTCTGAGAAGTTCCTCCACATTCCCAGAAAATCTCTGGAAAACCAAACCCAGGCAGCAGAATACCAAAGAGAAAGCCAAGATTTATTTCTAGGGCTTGTGTTTCATCCTGTGCCATACTTTGATGAATCCTAAGAAATGGGTGCTTCCAGCCGACCGGACTCTGAGAGGCGCAGGGAAGTTCGCTCGCACAGGCTCCACAGAGAGCAAGCCCTGGACCCCAAGGCGGGGACGAGAGGCGGCGCAGGGTGGGGGCGGCTTACCTGGCACCTTGTCCACGGACGCGAACACAGAGCGCTGCACCGTGGGGTCGCTGCTGCCCCGGCGGCACTGGTCGTAGAAACGGAAAGGCAGGTGCTGGGTAGAAGAGGAGGAGCCAAGTCTGAACCCCAGGACTTCGGTCGTCGGCTGGATCGGGAGGTCCAGGAGGGCTACGTTCAAACAACACCGTGGTTCATGCTCATCACACGGGCCGCGGGTACAGGTGGAGGGCTCTGGATTGGGGGGGGGGCGCGCAGCCAAAGTGGCCGCGGCTCTAGCAGGCATATTACTCGGACAGTGCCAAGCAGGCAGCCGGCAGCCTCAAGCTGGAGAGACCCAGGTGACCCCAAAGGTCCCGCCTGAGATCAAAACACAGCTGGTGCCTGGCGAGGGATTCAGAGATGGATGCCGGCCAGTATCCGCTCTGGATCCTTGGCTTCCGCACGCAAAAGACCCTTGCCAGGCTTTGCCGCGGGTGTCATTTCAGACCCCAAAGCAAATGGGGCCAATTTTGCCCTGCAAGTTCCCATATGTACACACGCATGGGGAAGAGTGTGTGAGGGCGAAACTACCCGCGCGCGTGTGTGTGTGTATTTATGAGCGTGTGCTTATCTGTCACAGTTGCTGTCTTCCCTGGCATAAACCAATCTCATGATATAGCAATTTGGAGGGGCTTTTTAAAATCAATTTAAGGAATACCCACGGCGTTAGTTCGAACAGCCACTTTACGGCATAATTCTCAATTTTCAAATGAAATATTTACCCTTCATGCCAGCGCTGAGCAACTGCTTTACATTAAAAACAACAACAACAACAACAACAACAAACCTTCTGAAAATAAATCTTCAGAGAAAGGACTCAATGATTTAAGTCACTTTGCACATTACAAAATGCTTCTGTAATGATTTTATAGGCCAAGTTTCAGCTAAGTGAGAAATAAAACAGGGACTGCCTGGGATGCAGGCCTGGGCAAATCAACAGGGCAGGCACGGCAAAGAACCGAATCTGTCATGTCCAGAGACCCAGCCCACCAAGTGTTCATTTTTCGGTAATCCCTTTAGAAGGCGCCCCTCCTCCCCAAGTGGGCTGGAAATCCTCCCAGCAACCACACCAGAATGACCATCGGTGTTTGGACTGAAAGGCGTTGGTGTCTGGAGAAAGACTATAATTTGAGCAGCTAGATAGAATGCCTTTCCCCGGGGGAATGCCGCGCTGTCAGCCCTGATGAATGGAACGCCCTCGTTTTAGCGCCTTGATTTCTAAGAAAGCTCGAGCCTTCCTGCAAGGGGCAGCGTTAGGCCCCCTCACAAATTCACCACAGTGCCTATGACGCATACACCGACTTCCGAGTTTAGTGCTGGGTCATCGTGGCCCCCTCACCAAGCAGGGCTGCCTCTCACGAGAGCTGGAGGGAGAGGGGGAAGGGATGAGCTTTAGAGTCAGAAGTTCTGCATTTGGGTTCTGCCAACTCGCTGCTTGTGTGACTTTGGGCAAGTCACTGAGCCTCAGTTTACTCTTCGGAGAAATGGGCAGAACAGACCCTACTGATCTTAAGGTTAAGGATCAAAGGTAGAAGAGGAATGTCCAAGCATTTTTAAGTATAAGCTAGAAGACTCCTGTGTGCCAGAGAACAGCTGTCCCACACGGATACCTGACTGCTCATGGCCTCTTGCTTGTTTAGGGAGGATTCTCCTTCCCTTCCATGTAGCCCCAGAAACTCTCTAGAAATCGAACACCTGGGGAATGGGGAATTCTGAGCAGATTCTCTGTCCTTTCACCAGAACACAACGAACTCCTAAACCATAGGTGTCCTCTTCTAGAGGTCCATGTGAGAGCCTGAGGGCTCCAAGGACAGCCGCCAGAGCTGGCCACTCACCGGCTATCCTCTGCATCTTCATGCGCCTCGCCTGGATGCGGCCCTTGGCCAGGCGCTGCTTGGCAATGATGCAGCGGATGTGGTCTGAGAACACGAAGGTGGCCTGGAGGATCGGGAAGGGCTTGGAGTGGGGGCTGGACGCAGGCTTGTGGATGGTGATGTTCAGGGCGCGGCTGTCATCTTCCACGCCGGTCACCTGCATGTCCTATAGAAGAGGCCAAAGAAAGGGTGGTTGTGAGGTTTAGGAGGAGGGCAGTGGCTTGGAAGCTGTGGGGTCTACATCTTATCAAGAAAGGAGTTCCCCAAATTCACCTTGGCTTTTGCTCTGAAGGAGTAGCCTCCCAAGTCTGAGTCAAGGATGGGCCCACACCAGACCAGGCCTCTCGGAGAGGACATGCAAAGGGAGTCCATGCTGGCTGTGAGGGCTGGGACCCTACTCACGAGGACCTGAGTAAGCTAGTGAATAAATGGGTGCCCCAGCCTCATCAAGGGGCCATGGGGGCTCAAACAGGCAGACTCCAGCAGTTCTGACTTCTGAGAAATGACATAACAAACCAAAATGCCTATGGCCATCTGATGTGATCTTAGATATATTCACGCATCTACTGACCAGCTTCTTCCTGGCTTCTCTTAAGGGGGCATCCCTGGCACCCATTTGTATGTGTCCGAAGAATTTCTGGTCCCTAAAGGAAAATGCTAGCCCCGAGAAAGGGATGGGGGACCATTTATCAGGCACGTGAAGAAAGCTGCATTTCAAAGGTGCAGAAGAAAGCTCACGCACAGCAAGTGTGCTAAGGACGGATCCCTTCTAAAACCTCAGAGTGGATTCTGTGCAAAGAATCTGCTTCCCACAAAAGTTTGAGGTGATGCAAGATAAAGGCATGAGACAGGAGGCAGACGCGAAAGTCGGACGTGCTACAGGAGCTGGGGAAAATGCTAAGAAGCCTCCCCAAGTGAGATGGTTGCTGTTTGTAGGCATTAAATCTGGCACAGACTCTTTGGAAAGAATATCTGCCTCGGAATGTTGCGGTGGGGAATTAGATGAGATATTACACATTTAAAGCGGAGAACCTGGCACACAGTAATGGCCTGACAAATAAATAGTAACTACTGGAAGGCGACCAAAAGGAAAGGCTTATGTGCCTTTCATTGTCTGATGGAGGACATGTATTAATCCTTCGAGGGAGAAAAACACTTTCCTGACACTAAATTCTAAGGGAAATTGATCCTAACTCTAGATAAATAAGAAGCACTAAGTCATCTAATGGACAACCTCTTACACGGGAGTCCTTTTTTAAGGGAAAGATTCTTCATATAGTTTCTCACATCACCCTCTGTAAAAGACATTTTTTAAGTGGAAAGACCTGGAAAAAGAGGAGGTTGGGGAAATAGCATCTTCAAACATGTGGGCGGCTCCCTAAGAGAGTGGGATGCTGCCAGGTCACACTGTGCAGAGGTGGACATGGGTCAGCCGAAGCAAGACCCTGCTAGTGACCAGAGACCGCCCAGCAAGGAAATGGGCTGCCTCAGAGCAGGGCACGCCTCAGGCTGGGGAGAGTCGGCTGGACGCTCAGGGACTGGGGTCCTGACAGGGGACAGGAGCTGGAAGGCTGTCTTCAGCACTTCTGGTTCTTCACTCCCTTCAGTTGATAAACTGGCCTAAGTCACCCATCAGACAGCCACACCTTGAGAAAACCCAAGTCCCAACTTGGTGTTTGGCGGTTTAGAGCCCATCTCTGCTTTCTAGAAAGGGGGTGAGGACAAGGGTACTCTCGTGCATTGCCGGTAGCAACAATCACTTGAGAGAGGAATTTGGCAGCATCTATGAACACCAAAAATAGGCACACCCCAACTTCTTGATAGCCACCGAGGGAAACCCTTGCTCAAGAAGGAAGGATGGTTCTGTTCATGGCAGCTCTGTTTGTAAAGGTAAAAAGCTGACCACAGCCACAGGGAACTAGCTAACTATGCCTTGTGTGGTCACGCAGCAGTTAAAAGAATACTAGTAAGTCTGCATATACTAACATGGTCAGCTCTAAGACATCTATTGAATGAAAAAAAAAAGTTTAGAACACGTTCAATGTGACACCATAAAACACACACATAGACACCCCCTCTCAAGTATGTGTACACAATGTTTATAAACAGTACATGTAGCTGTATTTATATGTGCATTTGGCAGAGCACCAGCTCTGGAAGGCCCATACTGACAATACAAGAGAAAGTTTCAGAATTGAGGGTTTGGGTCAAAGAATACTTGACCCTTATCTGTGCAGTATTTCAACTTTTTTTCAATGATAGTCTGTTCACATATTCCTTGTATCCTCAGAAATTAACTGTAGAGATGATTCTTCTGTGTGTGTATGTTTGTACAGCCAATCAAGAAGAGCTTCCAGAGTCCTCAGCCATCATACCTGCAGGAGGCCTGCAAACTTGACGACTCCCCAGCCAAGCCTGGACACATCGGGCTCCACTAAGCTCATCTGATAAATATCGACAGCCAGGAAGCGCTGGACCATGCCGCCGTCCTTGGTGATCACGGTGCATGCAATCAGGTCGCTGTTGTCTGGGGAGAGGGAGACAAAATGAGGCGCAGTCTGGTGGCCCAGCCTGATGGAGACAGGCTCGCAGTCGGACTTGCGTTCTGGTGGGCAGCAGAGTTTGGTCAGAGCCGAGGCTCGGAGTCGCATACCCCTGGGACTGAGTCCCTCCTCTGAGTCATACTGGGCAACTTTTTTTTTTTTTTTTGGTAACCTTTCTGGGTTTCACATTCCTCATCTGGTAAATGGGGATAATGCCCACCCCTCTCAAAATGATAACTGAATGAAGTACATAAAGCATTAGTACATTTACTGCACATGAGGCGCTCAAACTGTAGCTAAAAAACCAACAAACGGAGAATCCCTGTAACATTTCAGTGCTTCCTTGCAGACAAATGGCAGTTGACAGCTGTGGTGGTATTTGCCTAAATTAAGCGAAGACAGGAAAACAAGAGTCCCCTGCTTGGTTATATAACCATCAAGCTTCCAATCTTGTGTCTGGCACCTTAGAGCCGAGCTTTGCACTAGATGGTGTGTGATCCTGGGCAAGGCATTTGGCCCCCATGAACCACAGTTTTCCATCTGTAAAATGGGAATAATCTCCCTTCTCTTGAGATGTTTGATACTTTAAATGAGGACAGATTGGTAAAGCATTTAACATAGAATCCTTACTGTAATCCTTCTCTTACTTGGAAATTATCCCCAAATTCGATATCTAATTTAGTGCCTATCCTTGATGGCTTTGACATCACCAGAGTAACACGGGACCATGTAATCTATGGTCTGCTTTGTATTTCCTCCAATGGAATCCTCTGCCCCATGTTTGGAAAAAAAAAAAAAAAAAAAACCAAAACAGGAAACAACCTAAATGTCCCCAAATAGGGGAAAAAGTTATGATTTTTTCCCCATCACATGCAAAATTATATACCCATTTAAAAAGTATGTTTAACCAAACTGTGAACAGTGGTTGCCTATGGAAAGGGAAGTGAGAATTGATGGTGGGAGTGCATGTATGGGGTGGGGGTATCAATGGGAGAACTTAAATGTTTGTACCATATACCACTGTATTCCTTGAAATTATTTTACAATGAGAAGGTACTCAACATGTACTTTTGAAGTACATATTAAAAGCCAGGGGTGCCTGGCTGGCTCATTCAGTAGAGCATGTGACTCTTGATCTCAGGGCTTTAAGTTCGAGCCCCATGTTGGGTGTAGAGATTACTTAAAAATAAAATCTTTTAGGGGCACCTGGGTGGCTCAGTTGGTTAAAGAGCCAACTCTTGATTTTGGCTCAGGTCATGATCTCGGGGTCCTGGGATAAAGCCCCGTGTTGGGCTCCGTGCTCAGCAGGGAGTCTGCTTAAAGATTCTCTCCCTCTGCCCCTCCCCACTCAAGTGTGTTCTCTCTTTCTCTAAAATAAATAAATCTTTTTTAAAAAATGAAGCACATATTAGAAACCCAAGTTAAATCCTATTTACAAATAATTGCAATGACACTGGAAAAGACATTAAAATTTGAAATGAAGAAGGATAAAAACTGTATTATTGTGATTTTGCTATGTTAAAAAAAAAAAGTATCCCCACAAAGAAAATACAAGTGCAGAAAATAAAACTGAAACATTAGAAGAACTTTCTGATTAGAAGAATGGTACGTGGGCTTTTTTTTGAAGCAGCTTTACTGAGTTATAATTTATATACCATAAAATGCGCCCATTTTTAAGTGTACAGTTGGAGATTTGGCAAATTTACAGCTGTGCATCACTGAATTCCAGCTGTGGGACATCTGTGTCACCCCAGTGAGTTCTATCGAGAGCGCTGTAACCAAGTATTTGACTTAAATATATTGGTGGTGGGTAGGTGGGGGAGGGGAGGGAAGGTAACACAGTAGAAATCCTGGCCCCAAATGCAGATGATGACAAACCCGGGCTCAGGTATTCCCCAAGGATTCCCCTCCCCCCCATTTTTACTTTTCCTTCAGATCTACAGGGGATAGGTAAGTCTCCTCTCTCGGCACTACCTCCCCAAATACAGCTCAGTTTAACGCTCTGAAGGCTAATCTGTTTGGGATTGTGGTTTCATGGGGGATGTTTTCCGGTGTACCCTCTGGGCTTTTAAGGGCTTCATGCTTCTGTGTGTTCTCCCCGAGGCAAGCCCGTCTAGGATGGCCAGCAGCCCCGTGGCAAACACCAGCACGAGGCAGGATTAACTCTCTGGGTGGTGCTTTCTTCTTATTCTGTGGCAGGAATCTTCCTCCCTTTCCCAACGACCCAGCCAAGGATCTTAAAAGATTTCTAAAAATTATGTCATCCAGAATGTCCAGTGAGTGCCCTACTGGAAGAAAGGTAGCGCTCTGTATTCAGAAGTGAAGCCAGCCTCTTCACTCTTACAGCATGTTCTCTGGGGCTTATTCTCTTTACTCTCTGGTTTATTCTCTTTACTCAGTACTTAAAACATTTTCCTCAATGACAATCTTTTACCTTTTTAAATAGAAAACAAAACTATAAAGGATGCTTTTTCTTTCCTTTTTCCATTTCTCTCCCCTGCTCCTCACCTTCCCCTCTCTAAGCAGGCCTCCTAGGATTTCTTCTCTCTTCCCATTCATAGAAGATACGCCCCTGAGGGTGTGATCAGGGAAGGCAGGAAGGCCAGGGGTGTAGGTGTCAATAGGGTTTGTAGGTAGGCAACCCCCTCATAAAGCCCGGGGACCTTAAAGGCTTGGCGGTGGTGGTGGTGGTGGGGGGGAAGACCCACCATCTCCATCACTAAGAACAAAAAAGGAAGGACAAAACCCCAAAGCGGAACAACTTTCAGAAATGCAATTGAGAATCAAACCCCCATGAGGGATTTCATAAGAAAACGAAAATGCAAGCGTCCCCAGGGAGCAGTCCCCAGGGAGCAGGGAGGGAGCCTCTGGCTTTTCAGAAGTTTTGGGGCAGTTGGTGGGGGGGAGGCTTCCTCCTGGGAGACCAGGGAGAAACAAAGGAGGCTTCCTCCTGGGAAACCAGGGAATTGTCCTAGGCACTGTCCTAGGGAATGCTGGTGGCGGGGGTGCTCATCTGTGGGCCTCTCGGTGTCATCTCTGGGGAACTCCTTCCCCACCTCAGCCCTCAGCTGCTCCCAGGCTGGCCTATGGACATTCCCTGTGTGGAGCCCTGGGGACAGGGGCTGTCTGCTCATCTCTGGACGGCCACAGTGTTTTGGGTGGAGGAGGACCCAAGGGAGAGCTGCTGAACAGAACCCAGTCCCACCCACAGTCTAGTGCTATGCCAGGCGCCCTGGATTTCACTCCAAGACAGAGGAGCCAGGCCAGTGCTGAGGTACCAGGAGGGACATGGGCCCTTTTCTCTTTGTTTAATTGTAAGTGCACAGATAACACACCGTCCCCTTGGGGACAAGGGGACGACTGTCACGGTGTGAGGGCCTCATGAGCCTCCCTGCCCAACTCCCAGGAGTGGCCTGTGGCCTGCACACTGGCACTGCCCAGATCCCGCTGCCCATACGAATCCACAGGGTCCCTCCCCCATCAACTTCACTTCAAAAGGGGTAGGGCCTAGGATTCTGGTTTAAAAATTTACAGAAAATTGCCAGAAGACAATATAGGAGAATATCCATGTGTTCTTAGAGGCAGGGAAGGGTTTCTTTAAAAAGAAGTAAGAATCAACACATACAAAAAAATAAATACGAGACTGGGAAACTGATTACGTCAAAATTGAAACTTAACGCATATGTAACAAATGACTTTACAGACTCAGTGAAATAACTGGAAAATATCTCTAAGAGCCAAAGATCTCGCAGTAAACGTGAAGGACTCCCACAGGCCATTCACAGATAAGAGAATGGAGACAGCCAATGAACACACACAAAAGTGCCCAACCTCACGAGAAAACAGGAAAAAATTCAAACAAGATCTCAACCTTCTACCCGTCGACTGGGAAAAAGAAGGGTGTTGGGGAGGACACAAAGAAGCTGACATTCTCAAACACTGCTGGTAGGAGAATAAGCTAACATAGCCACTTTGAAGGGTACATTAGCATCGTTTATTTAAACTGAAACTTTCACACCATATGACCTGGCAAGTGTTATGTTCCCAAGAAAACACACACAAGGGCCAAGAGACGTGAACAAGGATGTTGACAGCAGGATTTGGGTCTACAGGGACCCAAATCTCCCACAACAAGGGAAAGCCTAAAACAAAACAAAACAAAACAAAAACACACATGTCCATTCAGTGCAAAACCAGCGACAACAAGGAATGACTTAGATCTCTGGCTATTTCAACACGATGAAGGCTCAAGGATATACTGTGGAGTGGAAAAAGCAAGTTGCAGTATGACACGCGCAGTAGAACGCAATTTGTATAAAATCAAGCCTCACAGAACCAGGCTGTCTATTTTCTATGGGTTCTTGCATGTGGGTGTAAAAGAGAAAGTTAAGAAAATGTCTGGCAGGGTACACGGTGATCGCCTTTTTGGAGGGGATGAGGTGGGATTAAAGGTGGGGGGGTCAAAGTCATGAGAGTTTAAATGCAATGTTCTGATTTTTCAAAGGAAAAGGAGGTGTGTTATCTGTGCACTTACAATTAAACAAAGAGAAAAGTGAATGTCTTTCCACACTCCTACACAAAGGGCCTCAGGTCTTTCTGGGGCCCAGCAGGGCTGGGAAGCAGCACCGGGCTGAGCTGTTGGCCAGCCGGCTCTGCCTGATCTGGAAGGCGGTGGCCATCTTCACGAACAGGGCGACGGCAGGAAGCTGGGTCTCTCCAACAGCATCTCTTGGTACACAGGCATGCACATTTCCAAACTGGCCAGACGTGTGTGAGCTGAAAAGCTCTGGCAGCAGGTTCAGCAGACCTGTGGGGGTCAGGCATTGTCCTAGGGAGCCTGACTGAGAAGAGTGGGGCTTGGACCTACCTCAAGGGGCTCGGGCCGTAGGACACCATGCAGACCAAGTCTCCACACCCTACAGGCAGGAGCAGGTGGGATGGCAGATGTCTCCGTCACACCCCAGGACCCCGGAGGTGTGGCATG